TATATATATATATATATATATATATATATATAAAAATAGTGTTTCAAATACACTTTCGATTGCTATAGGTCCAGCTGAGCTAGTGAGTTCTGGAATTGAGCAAAAAGCTTTTGAGCAGTAACTTGTGGAAAGCATAGTATAAATCTAAAATTATTTTTGTTTATGTTTTTCTGATTAGAAGTCTGTAATCGTAGTATGTCAAAAGAACAATAAACATAATTAATTAAGATGATGGTGATTTCTGACAGAATCTGGCAGTGACAAGCATATTGTTGGTGGTGCTATTATCTTAGATAGGCATCAAAATAATTTCCTAATCTAATACTACCTATGTAAAGTTATACCTAAAAGGTATTCTTTTCTTTCAGGATTTGCTAATGTTATCATTTGTAACTATAAGACTAATATTTAAGCAAGTTCAAATAATTACCCATTCCCAGATACAAATAATTATATATTTTTTGAAAAATTTAAATACTGATAATATTACATCACAAGTACTTGTAGTAACTTTTATAATATGTAGTAATGACACAAATACAAATATAATTGCCAACTTTGTTAATTCAAACAATACTGATAGTGAGAACAGCAATAATCAATATTTTTACAATGATTACATTATTTCTAAACAGCTACTGAAAATGACATGCAATACTTTCATCTCCATATCTAGGTCTGCAAGAAATAATACAGTATCAGATTCCAACCCCAAACTCAGTAACTTACCTCAGTTTGGACCATGCCTGGTCTTTGTGTTCGTAATGTTCTCACAGTCTGAAATATGTCAACAACTCCCTCATCTTGCATTCTTTCTAACACAATGCTAAGGCTGATGAACACACCTGTTCTTCCTACTCCAGCACTATACGATATAACAGACATATAAATGTATTTTGTTTACTACCATTTGAGGGGTAAAAGAAACATATTTGGTTTGTTTCTTTTAAACATAAAACTGCAAAATTTGCTTCTTTTTTTTATTTTCTATTAAAAAACAAACAAAATCCAGTGTCATGAAGTGATACATCAAAATAATCAATAGTACCAAACCAATCATCTTTTCCATTATTCCTGCCATAATAACTAATTTCAGATTTTCAGATATATGTAAACAACTAATTATTACAGTACACAGTTGATGTGTTTAGCACACGCACAAATTTGGTCCACAGCAAATTGTTCACTATTTGACAGCTATGGGTAGACTTATGGATGAAGGATATTACTATAGTAAGATTTTAAATGATGTAGAACCAAATGGAAAAGTAGTTCAAAAAGTGGAACCTTCAATGTTTTCCACAGAAGCAAAACATTTTGCACAGCAGAGCATTTGTGGCAGCAACAGGATCCACATCCAAACCCCCCAAAGCCAATCAATCCAAGGCAAATTCTCTTATCCACAAAGTGAAAGTTATGAAAGAGAACCCTCCAACTGAAAATGCCACTGCAATTAAGCTGGGCATATCTCTTGGTACAATTAATACAATACTAAGCAAGGATTTGATATTGAAAAATTATCACATTCTTCCGACTATTACTCAAAATCAACAAATATTTTAACAACATAAATTGTCCGAAGAAAGTGAAATTGGAGCAATCTTAATCAACCACATATCTGTTAATGCAACTTAAATGAAGTTTTGAGCATTTGGGCTGCTTAAGTGTAACCTGAAAGCTGATGTCTATATGCAATAGATGGTCTATGTAAAGTATAAAAATGTGTGGTCTAACACTGATTTTTCTGTTCTTTGCATAAACTTGTAACAATGGAAATTGCAGTGTTAGCCAACATTATGTACCCAAGGCCAAAGAATGAGCATGACCTACAGTGTAGGAAGTAGTTACAAGGACAGTACAGGACTTGGAGCATAGTTCTTACATGGTGTGTCATTAGTGCATTATAAAGATGTGCAAAACTTATTTGTGTAAAGCAGGACTTTACCAACAGATATTTAAGATAAAAATCAGTTTAAAAGATAATGATATTAGTTAAGTACATATAACTCTAAAAGATTATTAATTAACATTAGAAAATATGAATTTGTAAGCATGCACTTTACATAATGTTTTAATTTGGAAAACTAACTATTATTTGATAGTCACTACCTGTAAATTTATCTTAACCTTCTTCTTACCTGCAGTGAACTGTAATTGGACCTTCTTGACCAAACTGTTCTTTGGTTTTGTGTACCTGACCTATGAAGTCAATAAATCCTTCTCCTGACTTGGGTACTCCTTGTTCTGGCCACTCCGTGAAATGAAATTGTCGTATGGTCCGAGACTGTCCATCCTAGTCATATGTAACAGAGATATAAAAAACTTGGAGATACCTTTCAGTGTCACAGCTGAAAATGATGTGTTTAAAACAGAGATGCCAACATCTGAAAATGTGAAATAGCACTACAACTCAAACTTTGGTAGAAACCTTAAAATATTTTGATTACAGGAATGTTCATGCACAAATGTTATTATGTTAGTGTTGTAAATTTTGAAATATAAAAGTAACATAACTTAAAATCACATTGTAATTAAAGTCTGTTTATGATGTTCCCAAGAAATGTGCATCCTACGGCTGAGAGATATTTGTCTTGTTTGAAAAGAAAAGAAAAAAGATATTACCATCTTTCATGAAGATACAGCACTTGCTTTAGTAAAACGGTCTTCAAGTTGTGGGTGTTCAGAGTGTCATATCTATCTCTGTGAGAAACCTTAAAATCTAACTAGTATGTTTAGTAGTAGGCATGAAATTTTGATTTATTTGAATGCAATCATTGGAAATTCTATGCTATATTCTGTATTAAAATTTTGACACTCTGATACCAATTATGCTTCATTTTAGGGTTGTAGGGGTATCTGAACAATAACCATGCCAGCTTGAGGAGCTTTTGAATAAAGACTGTACTGGAAATAGTTGGCTATGTTATAAGAATTGTTTGTTTGTTGAGCTTTGTGTAAAGCTACTGGAAGACTACCTGCACTAGCCAGCCCTAGTTTTGAACAGGACTCACCACCAACTCTTGTCACACTAAACAGAGATAGTTGACCATTATTCACAACCCAAATGTGAGGAGCTCAATTATTATAATAATAAGAATTTTTTTATTATCAGTAACAAGATGTGAATCATAAAATGTGAGCTTCACAGTCCAGCACACTAACCAGTGGGATACACTTGGCCCATAAGAATTGTTATTAGCTGCCTGAATTATGTTTAAAAAACTTAGGAAATGATCTTTACATAATATCTATAAATAACAGACTGCAAAAAAGTAAGCATTCAATAGAATAAACTAAAAAGTATGTTTCTAAAAATTTCAGACTTTTAATGAATATATATATATATACAAGGTACTGTCACACTTTTAGTGTTCATATCATAATCAGTAAGCTCAAATCATACTGGCTGGGATCCCTTTTAGAATATTCATAGTTAATTATGATTTGTTTGAAACACTTTTACATACAAAAAATAATGAGACATATCACCGTGCTAGTCAAATATTATACAAAAGCTCTAGTAGCAAATGATATAATTTCTAATCCTCTACTATTTAGTCTTATCCTTCTAGTGACCTGCAAAATCAATACGTTCTTTTTCTCATATGGGAAGTCTCTGTTTGGAGAGCTTCGCGAAATGTACAATTATCTTTTTAAACTTGCCTTATCATGTTAGTGACTGTGAACTCAAATCTTTCAACTGACTTATGAAGCCCTTGTTCTGGAGACTTCATGAAGTGCAATTGTTGTTTAAAACTTATCTTAGCATGTTAGTGATCTGTGGACTAAATAAATATTTATACTGACTCGACAATCCTATTTTCTGGAGACTTCATTAAGTGCAATTATTGTTTTTAGATGGTCTTATCATGTTAGTGACCTGCGAACTCAATAAATTATTCTACTGACTTGCGAAGCCCTTGTTCTGGAAACTTCGTGAAATGCAATTGTTGTATGAAACTTGTTTTATGAAGTTAGTGAACTGTGAACTCAAATTTTTTTACTGACTTGACAATTCCTTGTTCCTGACCCTTCTAAATGAAATCAATAAAATCCTCTACAAACTTGATGTCCTATTGTTTTGTCCATTTTATGATATGAAATTAGCTGTTAATCATGTTTTTTTGTCCTTCCATTGATCTGTGCAACAACCTACAATTTATCTCAAGTACATTTATGAAGAAAGTTCTACCTTTTGAAAACACTCAAGTTTTTACTTTTGTCTTTAATTAACTTTTTGAGCCTACATATTTTCTTAACATCATGACTGAGATTATAAAAACAGTACAAAGTTGGTTCATTCTTTCTCAATGAATTTATTGTAAGATCAACAAGTTTATTATGCTTTCATGTACCTTTCAGTCACATGTTTGTACAAAGTTTCATGCACTAGTTGACCCAATCAAGTACACTGTACTAACTTTTATGAGAGTAAAATATAATACTTGAGATAAAAAACAAACAAGAGGGAATCCTCAACAGCTGCATCATTTGAAAGTTTTTTGAGGCAGGATTAAATTAATGTATCAGACTTTTTTTCCTTTTCATTAGCTATATTTTTGTGCAATACCAAGCGTAGTGCGCATGTATACCAGACACAATCTTATCAGGATCTCTACTAGCCTACCCTCAAATTGAAATTTTTTTAGGCAGGTTTAGAGTAAATTAATCCAAGAGACCTTGGGAGTGGTCAAATACACCAATCAAAAGTGTTTGACCTCCAGAGTCCAAAAATGCAATTAGATCTCAAAAGGGGTCAAGAGATGATAGAGCTATGAGCTAAAAGTTTGTATTTGAAAAAAAACTCAGAGCCATTCTCTGAGTGGCTATGTCACGGCTATAGAAAACCAACTCAAAATGCATATCACCTTCAAAGAGCAAATAACAATTAATTATACAAAATAAAAACAAACCTATTTCAACTATAGCAAGGAATAGTAAATTTAAAAGTTAACTAATGTGCTACAATTGAGATCAGGCGCTCAGGTGATATTTTCTTTTTATAAACAAAAATTTAATTTTCACCATCAATGTGCAGAGGACATTTAAAGAGTAGAGGCTTATTAACAAATAGGGCACTTTTCAATCATTAAAAGGAAAGTTTTTTTTGGTGGGGGAGCTGTTGTTAGTTGAATTAACCACAATTATTTTTTTACTGTAAAGACCTACAAGTCCCTGTGTGTCATTCACTTTAACATTTGAATTTTTTGTTTTTTACTAATAACTCGCAATAAGCAAGGTGTAGAATAACGTTTGTCTTTTCATAGTTGTTGACAGTTTTTATGACAGAAAAAAAGGCCTTTTTTGGGTATAAGGGCAAAAAGGTAGGGGCTTGAGCCAGCCCAGCCACCCGTGTACACATTACTGATTTTTATGTTTCAAACACTTCCTCAGTACTTCTCTTTGAAAGAGAATTACACAGGTTAAGTCTTAGCTAAAGAAAATAAAAACCATATGTACAATACCCTTGCATCTGTTACTTTAAACTCTCTCAGGATGTATTGGGGCATGTTGTACTCTGTAATAGGATCCACTACAAAGTACAGGTACCGTTGGGATTTTTCACTGGGCCAATACTGATGACATCTTTCCTGTTAGACAAAGAAAATGTGTAGTTCATTAGTTATTCTTCACATTTACAGCAATCTGTAGTAATATTCGCAGTGGATGAAGGATACTACACAGTTGATGGTGAGTAAATAAACATATTTTAAATATTGAAAAGATGTATACATATAGCAATACTTTGTTTTGGCTCCATTCACTGCAATAAAACAACTGGAAAAACATCCATTACTATAAGTATTTTGATTAATGTTTTAATAAACCAAAATTTCACCGTGTCCGCGTAGAAGTTTGTCATCTACACTACATTAAATCAGACTACCCAACAATTAGCAAGATTTCCTCTTCAGGACATATTCAAACTAAACAGAAGTGATTCTTATAGCCAGAGCCTAAATTCCATAGGTTATTGTGAATCAAAAACAAAGATTTACTCAAGCACTGATAAACTTACTTCATTATTTTTCAACTTTGCAAGTTAACAAAGTATATCACTTACTCTTAGCCTGGAACATTTAATTTTATGCCATTAACCTGATATCCTGTTTATATAGACTTGAAGGAAAAAATAAAACCTACCCTCCCAACCTCTTTGAGTTTAGTTAATATGACTATAATATTAGAGTTATGTTCCCATAACATCCTCCAAAAATCCTCTGTTGTTTCAGGAAGTGGTCCTTGTGTGGCTATGTAAGCATTTCGGTATTTGTAACCCTGCAAGTTTAAAAATACTGTTTTGTAATTATTCATACAATACATAAAATAAAAATCACCTATGACCAAAAAGCAGTTAAGTAGTTTTCTGCTGGAAATGAACATGATGTTTGTTACGAAATATGAATTATCAGAATTTTATTTGTTATTTTGATATTAATACTTAACACACAGAAAGGTAGTTTAATAAAATTAAATATCTTATTTTTTTAATAGCTATCAAATTAGAAAGTACATTAATTTTTACAAGTTTGATTTTCAACATTAACCTAAAAACTGACCTTTCAAAGAAGAAATATCCTGGATAATGTGTTTTACCAACAAAGTTTCCTTTTGTAATTAATATAAAATGTCATATTTCATAATCTGAACATTAAAATCACACAAACTTATTATAACTAAAAGTATCTTACATCAATGAAGCTAGCATTGATATAATCTGATCCATCCACCCCTCTGATAGGCTGAAGGCACACGCGTGTGGCTTCATCTGAAAGTGTAATCCAGAAAAATCTTGCACTAATAACTGATTATTTATATTAGAAACATGTAACATAATTCAAAATGAAAAACAATGTAGGTTGAACTTGAAGTCTAGAAAAAGACTATAAAGATCACAATTTTTTTAAGGAAATATATTTTATAACATAAATCATGATTTCTATATTCAAGATAAACCTTTACATAATATTTATGTATTACTGTGTAGAAAAAATAAAGAAATATGCTACTTACAAGGCAAAATATTCATAAGTCTGTTTTTGAATTTATTGATAGGAAGATTGGCACTAACAAATCTGTTGGGTTGAGACCTGACAGTAGATAGTCTCTATAAATAAACACAACAGTTTTATTACAGATACAAAATAACTATAGGAAGATTGGCACTAACAAATCTGTTGGGTTGAGACCTGACTGTATAAAGTCTCTATAAATAAACACAACAGTTTTATTACAGATACAAAATAACTATAGGAAGATTGGCACTAACAAATCTGTTGGGTTGACCCTTGACAGTAGAAAGTCTCTATAAATAAACACAAGAGTTTTATTACAGATACAAAATAACTACAGAAGTATTTATTAACATTTATAATAAATATGAAAACCTGACATTATGAGTTTAACTACTTTTCACTCATCAGGAATTTATCATCAGTCAAAAGCTTTATCTTAAATTTTATGAATAAAATAGCTTTATGAAGATAACAAAAACTGTTAATATGAATGCAACATTTTCAAAAATGACTGCAAGAGCAAAAAATAAGTTTATAATAACTTCAGTCACAGATAACAAGAAAAATTCTGAAAACTACTTGAAACTGTTACAACATTTTAACAGAATCTAATCAACTATGCTGTACAGACTACAACCAAAAAACCAAACTCAAGATCAGCTTTAAAAACTAATATATTTTGAATAGAATCTAAGATTCTTGTTTAGACCATAAAAACTTACTTTGAACTCTAGTTCCATTCCAGAGCAGTTTTCTCCAGGTACAATTTCCATGAGTTCTTGGATGTGAGAGTAGAGATTCTGGGCAGGAACCTCTGTGTTTCCTGAAAGCACAGCATCTAGAACTGCATCGTGTATGAAAATGTACTGATCCTCTGTCTGTACCATGTAATTCCTCTGAGCCCTGAGGCAGGTCACATGACCATAGATATCAACTGTGTTCTCATATCGTAACCTTTCCAGCATGGAGTCGATCACTATGTAACATCCTGTTCTTCCAACTCCAGCACTAGGCAAAAATATTTAATTACAGTAAGTTATGTGATAAAGAAACATCTGTAACAATAAAACAACTTGTACATAAGTTCATAACATAAACATTGAATTTATTTATACCTTAAATTTTTAGTTATTAATGTCACTATTAAAAGATGAAAAGGAATAAGGTTATAAAAGTTTTTGCACAAAATTATGCAGCTTATCCATCTATTTTTCTCTACTTACAAAACTTGATCTGTGTAACGACATCCTACCTGCAGTGAACCACAACAGGACCAGCCTCAGGTGGATTTAAAGCACGAATTCTCTGAAGAAATGTGAGAAACGGAGTTGGGTGTTCTGGTACTCCATGGTCTGGCCAAGCTGTGAACTGAAACTGTCTCACTTCTCGCTTTTCTGGGTAGCCCATCTAACAGAGCAAAAATTAAGAAGTATCTTTATAAATTTATGTTTTAATGATCTTACAAAGAGGAGATCTTATTCATGGAGACTTATACTAATCCTATAGTTGTATAAATACAGTTTTATCCTTTCTTCTAATACTGAAGAGTTTGATTAGCAATTAAGTTTAAAATAAAATAGATCTTATGAGGGTAATAAAACTAGAAAATAGCACACATTTTATTTTTAAATTAGAGAACAAGTAAAAAGTACCTAATTAAACTGGTCTAAAACTGAAGGTTTGACACATTTACTTAGAATGTCTAGCATGTATGGTATTTATTGTAGTGCTAAAAATTATATAACATGTATATATAATCACGTAATGTATTCAAAATGTTTTTACTTTTTGTATAATAAACGTCCTTATACAGTATGTTGCCAGCTCCTGGATGTCAGCAAGACTAATATTCATTACACCATACTTCTCTGTTCCTCTTAATGGCCAGTACTGGTCACACTATAAATAACAAATTATAAGTCTTTCATACCACCATACCTTAAGGGTTCAGTAGGCTTTTTGTTTCATAAAACATTGGAACTTTCTAAGTAACTGGAATGATAATTTCTAAGGGAAGGAATTCAAGTATTTTTGTTTTATATTCAGTCTAAAAAACATTAGAAAGTTCAAAACCAACCTTTCTTTAAAATTGTTATTTCTGCAGCTAAGCAAATATAACAAATAACTCTAAACTGTACTTGTTTGTTATGTTGATTAAATTATAAATTACTAATTTTCAAAGAAATACAATCTTTTTTATATATACGTATTCACAATCTCAGAGAAAAAGACATCAATTTAATAATTAGCCAACATCTAGACAAAGCATACGCCAAAATTTTAAATGTAGGATTAATCTTATTATTCAGCTATTTAGTGATAATATGTTAAAAATTGTGATAAAAACAGATAAAAATGTATCTTAATGAACAAAGTTGTACTGACTTTAATACGAGTCCTTTCTTCCAACTTGGTCATCATAACTATGGTGGCACTCCGCTGCTCCCACACCATGCGCCAGAAATCTCCAACAGTTTCAGAAAGTGGCCCTTGTGTAGCAATGTAAGCATTTTGCTTCCTGTAGCCATCACAGTAGTTAGCATTAATATAGTCTGTCCCAGAAATACCATCAATTGTCTGAAGAACAACACGGCTATGATCGTAAGCTATGACATTGGCATAACGATTTTTAGGTTTATTGACCTCAAGGTTGGAATTTTCCCAAGTGAACTGCTGACCAGGTTCAACTGACTAAAAACAAATAAAAAAATTATATTTTAATCCAGGCAAGGCAGTGCCTATAGCTAGTTCCTATGTAACAGTTAAGAATGTTCTTGCAACAAACTGAGCCCAACTTTTCAAAAGAGATCACAGTTTTATATCAAATACAAGCAACATAAATATAATCTGAAATACAAACTTTGGAAGGAAATGTGGGAATAATTATGCTGAAACTCATTAAACAAATGATTATTTCTTTTCAGTAAAAACTGGTGTGCAAAAATACACATTCATGTTTGAACAAATTAGTTTTTTTTTATCATCAGGTTCTCTTAGGTTATCACATTGCTCTGTAGTTTTTCAGTTTGTATATTCCTATCTTAACTGATTAGCTAATGGAAGTTAATTTTCACATATAAGTTTATGTTTACATTTGGGCTAAAATCAAATTGTTTTGAGATATAATACAACACATATGTTGCTTGCTGAATGGTCTACAGTTAAACACTGATTTATTCTAACTCTTACTGAATGTAACTACCTTTCTTCACTTTGTCTAAACTTACGTACCAGATAAGAAGTCACAATCAACATTTTCTCACAAAAACTACTGAAATATACACACTATGAATTTGTTAGAATAAAGTATAGTTAATTTCCAACAAACCTCATATTCTTGAGAGAATTTTTGGTTATCATTTGCCTTCAGTCGTTCAATGTGATTTGCCAGCTCAGTGACAGGAATTGGTGGATGATTAATCATGGCTGGTGTTTGGTAGTTGAGACGTCGCAGTTCCACAGGATCAGTTGGGTGTGTGGTAAACTCTCTATCTGCAGAGTTTACAAGAAGCTTGTTTGCTGTTTCTCCTACTGATGCCTTGCTCAGTTGACGTCGTCTATGAAGTTTAGGGAAACGCCTGTAAAATTTGCACTGTTCTCTAATAACAAACTCAGGGAAAAAAAGGTAACAAAAAATGAAGAATAGTTAATGAAAAAAAAGAAGATAAACAGTAAAAACAAAATTATGAAAATGGCTACAGTATACTGTGAAAAAATCAAGAAAAACAACCAAGCTTTTCACAAAAAAAAAAGAGAAAATTCATAAAATATATCTTTCAACCAACAGGTCATTAAACATTTACAAAACTATTTAAGCTTCAACATTATTTCATTATAATTCAATGGAAACATTTCCACATTTGTTCCTTGGAAAAAAGATGTTCAGTTAAAAAAAGCTTATTAATTAAAAAAATGAGTCAACTATTAGTAGTTTCCATCATGTAACAAAATAATTTTTCACCTTTTAATAATGATAAACACTGCAATGCAAAGAACAAATATAAGACACACGATGATAGGAATAACCACCCACACCACATCAGAATCTTCTATACTACTATCCACTTTGTTAGCCATATCTCCACCACTAGCACCAGAGAGAGCTGGCTGGCCAGACAAGATTAAGTCAAGGCTCAGTGTGTCAGACATTGGGCTGCTGGTGTACAAATTCTGAAAGAAAATGATAGAAGCAAAGATATTAAAAGGCTCAACCAAAACATAAAACCAGCTAAACTTACAACCGAGATGGATGAAAATTTTATTGACAACATTTTCTATAAACTTTTGTTGTCTTTAAATGAACAGGTATAAAGTTCAGAATTAAACAGTCCATTTAATATATCTTTCAAAACTAATTGCCATGCTTCCTTACCATTTCAATGGACTTCTGAGCCACTGACTCATAAACACATTATAAAGGTTAAATATGAAATTAACTGTTACAATTAAATGATAAGTTAAGTCAATCATGGGACTTATGCTTACATTAAGTCTTTTGGCAAATTTTATCTTAAAATATATATATAAATAGTCAAATACAAATTACTGATTTATTTGTCAATATCATTAGCAAAGTATTCAACTTGCATCTTTTATAATATATCACATGGCTTTCTAAAACCACCTACCTTTTGAGGAGTATCAACTACAGCTCTCATAAAGATCCTGTACTTTTGATTATGCTGAAGAGGTTTGTTAAGGTAGCCATTATAAACTTTACCATCTCCCAGGTGAAATTTCTCAGGCATATCACGTGGTAAAAACTTAGCAGCTACATATGGAGCAAGCTTGTCAGGATATGTATCATTCAGCTAAAAAACAAACATTTATAAGACAATGAAAAGTAATGAAATACCCATCAAACATTCAGAAAGAAAATGAACAATTATGAAATAAATTCTATTAATTTGGAAAGAAAATGAGCAATTATAAAATATAAGCCTTTAACTTGGAAAAAAAAAGACTGATTATTAGATATATTCCATTAATTTGATAATAAAGTGAATAATTACTAGATACATATCATACAGCTGGAGAACCAGAGCCCTAGCAAAAGTGGGGCAAAAGGAGCAACCATCTGAGAGGTGTGCCAAAGGGTATAAAATGAGCCAAACTGCAATGCTGTAAAATTTATTTTTGTATTTAAATTTATTATATCAGCACATTTATTAAATATCTAAATATCTAATTACTGTTTGAAAAAGTCTTAAGTTTTTCTCTTGACTTTTGAACCAAGTATTAGTTAATAGATGACAGTCTCGGTTTGAAATTAAATTTTATCAAGTTATCTCAAACATATTCAGAATTCCTGCTATAGCAAAACTTTTTGTTCACTAGCTCATCTGAATAATTTCAATTGATTTAGCTCTTTATGTATGCATCGTAAATTGTAGCCACACATCAATAGCATTAACTTCATTTTTGTAGAAACACCTTTTAACAAAATTATCTTACAAATGCTTTAGTTGAGAGCACTTACTTACCTTTTTCGTTCTCAAGTTGCTTGTATTACAGTTTAAACAATTTATTACAAACCAAATCTAACTATATATCATGGAAATAACTTTGAGTAAAATGCTTTCAGCTATAGTTTAGGGCTCATGTTGTACAAACACTTAGAATTATTATTTTTCATTAATACCAGTAGTCTATCATGATTACCTCCTCAATAATGTAAGTGTCAGGATCTTCCCGTGCCTTATCAGCTGGAACAACCACTAAGAAGTAATGGCTAATTAATCCAAACTCTTCTGATGCTTGTGGAAGGATAAGGATGATCTCTTGTTGGTTCTGAACCCCAACTGTGTCTGGTTTAACCATGGGTTTGGGTGCTATTGGAATAATCCTTACTTATTCTAAAATATCATATTAAGAACATTTCTCATAGTGTCACTTTCTTTTGCATCATTATTTTATCAAATAAAACATTTGATAATTAACTTACATTATCATTATAGCTTCTTCAATATTTGTAAGCAACAATCAATGCAAAAAGAATTTGAAACAATTTAAAAATTATTTCAATTAAGGAAGGTTTTGAAGTATACTGACAATGAACGATGATATCAGTTAAAGTCAATATATCATTACTTCACAGACTTACAGAGTTATTATTAATATGTTATTTTGATAAAATTATATTTACAAAATTTATATCAATGTATTAGGTCATCAAGAAATTTACCACTCCCCCAAAAACGTACATCACATATAATAGTTAAGAAACCACCTAAACGTCACGTTAGTGTAGCCTATATAATGTGTAAAGTTTAGTATATTCTAATCCCTTATAGTGATTAAACATAATGAGACACACATTCGCCATGTAATGCTGTTTGAATACAAGAAGGGAAACAATGCCTCTGTAGCCACAAAGAATATCAAAGAAGTTTATGGAAATGTTTTGAACATTTGTAAGTGTCAACGATGGTTCAGCAAATTTCATTCAGGTGACTTTAGCCTTAAAAACTATGATGGCAGAGGCTAACTTGTTGTAATTGATATTGATGCTCTGAAGATGCTTGATGAGTCTAATCCAAGGCAACACAATTGTGAAATGGCCCTGAAATTGCATTTCTCTCATGAAATAATTTGTAGACATCTAAGAAATAAGGGAATACTCCTTAAAGAAGGTGTTTGGGTGTCTCACAAACTCTCCAATAATCATTGTTCCCAACATGTAAACGTTGCTTCATCTCTTCTGGTACGTAATGTGCTTGAACCATTTTTGGACAGAATTGTCACCGATGATGAAAAATGAATTCTCTATGTGAATATTAAATGCCAAAAACAATGGCTCAGTCCTAGACAAAAACCACTTCCGATCCCAAAACCTCCATCTGCAGAAAGTGATGCTTTGCATTTGGTGGGATATCAAAAGACTAATTCATTTCGAACTCCTCAATCCACAGCACACTGTCAATGCAGAGATCTATAGTCAGCAACTGGAACGTTTAAATCAAGCCCTTCATCAGAAATGCCTTTTACTCGTCAATCGGAAAGGTGTTCTTCTTCTCCATGACAATGCATGTCCACATATGGCACATTTGATGCAACACAAGATTATAGAGTTGGGTTGGGAAGTTCTCCCCCACCCACCATGTTATCCAGATATGGCACCATCTGATTACCATCTTTTTCGTTTACTGCAACACCATCTTATTGGGAAAACGTATGTAAGTGTGGAAGGTGTTAAAGAGGACATTGACATAAGTGATTTCTTTAATCAGGGTATTAACAACCTGATTGTAAGATGGAAAAGCATCATCGATAAGAATAAAGAATATTTCTTTTAATAAATGTTTTGTTTTTCATCTAAAAAAAAGCAACATTAATTTCTTGACAACCTAATATATGATTATAACTTAGCTTTAAAATTTTTTTATCAATGCATGTATGAAGTTTTTCTTATCAATACACCAACTTCATTATTATCAGGACTAGCAGAGACCCACAAAATGTTTGCTGTCAAATTAATATCTTTATTGTAATAATATTTCTTTAAATACAAGATTTGTAGAATAATACAAATGAAATATAATCTTATACACTGAAATATATAAATCCACTTGTATTTAGGTCATACTTTATAAAACCTTAACTAATGTTAGGCCTAAGTTCAATAAAGAGATAAATTAACACTGTACCGTGTACATTTTTTAAATTAGCTTAGTTAAGACTAAACTATACTGTACTTAATACTCTCTAAAAATAAACTTATAATGTTATTCTAGGACCTAACATCAGACCTTTTTGAAAACTTCAAGCTTTTAATGTTATTGTACCAAAAGGTTGATAAAGAATATTTACATCTATCGTTTATTATTATTCCTTAATTCATAGAGCAGTTGTAGTGACTTGTTTGTTGAACTTTCCAGCTCTCTGGTGCAGGCAGGCACTTGCACCATTTTTCTGGGTAAAATTCTTACTGTGCATGCTTATAAGGCTACTGACAGCAGAATTATTTTGTATTGTTCTAGAAATCCTGTATTTAAGGAGGTACTGTTGCAATAAAGACACTAATCTGAGCACAGATTTTTTTGCAGGTCTCTGCTACTCTATTATAAAAATACTCAGTTTTGTCTGTCATGATAATGTGCATGCACCTTACTATCTAAATACGCATGTACTCACGTGCATTTCCACAAACAAGTGTATTATTAGATAGAGTTAACTCAATAACCTTATTAACATATGACTTGCATACAATTTCACATTAGAAGTGTATAACAAAATTGTTTTAATCTAAGTAAACTTTAGTAAGCAAGTCTTTTAGCAAATATTCTCATTTCATATCACAATGAGGACTTTCATTACAATTATGATGAATTTTTTTTCAAGATAAAAATAATAATTATTTTACTATCTTAGCTTAGAAATGTTCTGAAGAAAAAATTGGGAAATATTTTTATGTTTTTTTTTTTTTTCCTGTTACAGAAGCATAAGATTATTAAAAATAACAGTATGTAACTTTCACCTGCTCTGGCTGTTGTAACAGAGATTTTGGCAGGAGGTCGGTAACTTTCTTCTGGTGGTATGGCAGTGATGTTCACTTGGTACGTAGTAAATGGCATGAGGTCATCTATCTTGTATTCTGTTATGTTAGGTTCAATTAAAATGGTCTGAACTGGTATAGTCAGTGTCTGAAGAACTCGTTGACTGTCATGGAATTCTTTGTGGGCACCAAAAGAAATCTGAAATCAAGCTCGTTACTAAGTAATAAAATCAAATAAATTAAGTGAAACTACAAAATGTATGATGATAAAATACTAATACAAAAATGGAATCTTTGTTCCCAAGTTATTCCCATGACCTAAAATCTTTGGTCCTCTCATTATTTTACTTAAAAAAACAACATTATATGAACCAAAATATGATGACTTTGATATTTGACCTCTTACTGCTGTTAGTTTCAGATATAATACAATAAATTGTGCCCTATTGGGTCAGAGGTAAGTTTAATGACTTACATTACTAAAATATGGGATTTGATTCTCCACAGTGGATAGATCACAGATAATTCATTCTGTATTTTTTGCATTAAATACAACAGCACAATAAATTAAATAGGGTTGGTGATATAACCTTCCCTGCATTTTAGTTATAAAGAAAATTTCATATGATTTGACACCTCATATTCAGATATAAAGTATCAATGAAGTTTAAAGATCATACTTTTCTCCCAATTATAATACACTTTATGTCAATATATCACACTTCTCAACATAATAACACTACCATCAAGCAAGGTTGGCGATTTACAATTTTCTTCTTTAGTTGTAAAAGCAGTAAAACTTCTGATGTGATCTTTGATTTCCAATTCAACACAGTTCAAAATATGTAGAACAAAATACATGCGAGTTGTAATGTTACACATATATTTGTTCAGTTAATGTACAGAGAATGAAAAACTATACAGACAGAGTGTGGGTTATTATAGTTACACTCAATCATACCTTATATTTGATCGGATTCAGCTTCTGAGGGTGTCGCCAAGACAGAATCATACTGTGAGTGGTAACACCGTGAGCCCGGAGTTGTGCCGGAACATCTGAAAAATGAAACCAAATGATCTGGAAGTCCCAAGAAAATTAAAAATATCTATACATATATAAACTAATAACATACGAAATGTTACAAAACATTTTTTTTATTAAAAAAATATCATACCTTATATTTTACATGTTCTATTTGGAAGTTTACTTCTATTTCACGTTTTATATATACAAAATAATTTATAAACAAGTAATATTAATATTTTCAATACCAGCTAGGTGTTTAGTGGATTTAACATTTACTTCTCCAGAGGGCATCACTAGTATGTTGAGAACTGAACTTATGCAAGACAAGTCTAATGATCTTATACAGACTTTAATTATGAAAAAAATTTTCCTTGAAGATCATTTTGTGATAAAATGAATTATTTTCTTTCACATTCTGTTCATTACAGAATCACCTCTTTTCAGTATTCTGAATGTTAATAGGTGTTTAAACAGTGTCACCTTTTCTTTTTCATTAATCTAGTAAAGATAAAATGTGAAACCAAATTAAGTGTGCCTGTGTAGGAATTTGTGACCCAATGTAATTGTTAAGAATAATTTCTTTGATAATTTAATTTCCAAAGAAAAAATAGATTAGGTTAAAGTAATGTAATTATGTTGGTGAGAATAATGGTAGTAGGAATTAAATGTTAAGAATTAATTATAATCATATTTTCTAAATCCTAAATAGAGTCAAAATAATAAGTCACAGACCAAGTGATAAGAGTTGTGCACATAATGGCAATGGTATAATAGGAATCACTTGTTGTAAATAATTTACTTATCTAAATTGCCCTCCTCCAAAATAAAAGAGAGAGAAAGAAAAAGAAACGATGTAGTTATGACTATGGGGAAAATGCTGATGTGAAGTAATACATATAGAACAACATATAGAGCAACTTTTAAACAAAACAAAGGACAAACAGATTCACTTGTACCTGTGGGTACAATGGTAACAGTAATAACTTCAGACAAATGACCAAGCCTTTCTGGTTTGGTGTAAGCTGCTACTCTGATGGAATAAGTAGCATGGCTGTCCAAAGCTGTTAGTTCTGCTGACCAGGTTAAAGGAACCTTCTTACGTCTCCACAGGTCCAAGTCAGCTACAGCAGTTTGTGTGTAAAGAACCTGTCAAGAATTTGGAGTAATGAACAAGACTGTATTAGTAGATGTACAGTGTATGCTAAAATGAAAAATCTATTTACAATCTAAGTATATGCACTGTCAATACACATTCTGTATCAAAAAACCTTTACAGTGACTGTTAAAAAGGAATAATCTACTTAAGGACTGTGTATACATTATCAATACAAGTTCTATGTTAATAAATTACAGTACATATTAAATGAAGAACTTATTTATGACCTCAGTATAATACACTAATACAGATTCTGTATTAGTACACAGACCTTACATGCTAAAAAGAAAAATTCACTTAAAACTGTGTAAATGTTCTTAATACAGATTATGTATTAATATGTGTACATTATATATTAAAATGAAGAATGCATTCAAAGAATGAGTTTAAATTATCAATACATAATCTACAATAATTAATTTACCAAAAGGAAAACTTTTTAAGAATTCACTATAAGTTTTTAACAATCATTTATATAAAAAAGAAACTTAGAGTTTAGTACTGTAGTATAAATTACAGCACTTTATAGAAATACGTCTACTTGTGATCAGACCAGTTATTCCAAGTTAGTTTAATTGTAATAGCACAATTTCTGTTTACAAGCTAAATTATAAAAGAAAGTATATAGTACTTGGTATCCTAGGATGTCTGGAAAATATGGAACCTCATCCCACCAAACTTCTAGTGATTGATCAGATGTGGCCATAGCTTGGACATTAGTTGGAGCAGATGGGCCATCTCCCTGAGTGTCAACAACCAGGTGACTACTCCAGGGACCAGGACCTACCGAGGTGTAGGCCTGTACTCTGAACACATATTTTGTATTTTCATCCAGTGAACTATAAAGTAAAGAACTGGTTGACTATCCATTCAACATTATGACAACAACTTCTGACATCCTATCTTACAACTTGACTACAGATTTAATAATAATATTAATTATAAAAAACCTTCAGCACAATGACAACAACTTACATCTCATCTTATAACTTGACTGGATATTTAATAATAATACTAGTTACAAAAATCTTCAGCACAATGACAACAACTTCTTACAACTTGACTGTATATTTAATAATAATACTGCTTACAAGATATCATCAACACTATTACAACAGTTCTGACATCCTATCTTACAACTTGACTGGAGATTTAACAATAATACTATTTACAAGATATCTTATTTTACACTTTCTGTTGAAATCTCACAGAATCTTTTTAAAATTAACAAATTCATCAGATTTTAAAACTGGTATCATTTTGTAATTTTATTATTTAAGAAGACGAGCTTCAGCTACCTGAAAACACATCTGGTAGTTGTTACATTTTTCTTTTCAGATGCATCTTGAGAAGCTTTGTGGAACAAGATGCCGTACTGAATGATTCGACCATTACTATACTGGGACAAAGGAGGGCTCCACCGAATCACAAGGGTAGTAGGGCTTTGAAGATAATGGGTGATGTTCTGTGGTGGAGCCGTTGGAACTGTTTGTGAGATAAACAATGATAATACTTAAACTTGAAACAGCATACATATATTGCCAATAAGGGAACATCACACAGACATAAAAATTAATTCTTATCTGCCATAAAAATTAAAAGGATTACCATGAAACAGTATAAAAGTGGTTTAACAACTTGGTAAAACTTTCACCAACAGCTTTATTAATGGTAATTACAGTCTCATTTTGCTTACGATAGTCTTAAAGCTCATTAATAGTACTTGAGATGAGATCTAATGACTTACTACATTTCAAATGTTATTTAAACACAATTAGATAGGAATAAGCTTGGAATTTTTACCTCCTTCAGGAGTTTCCAAAGGCACTGATGCTTCTTGACCCAGGCCCAGAGAATTCCTACCAGCAAGTCGAAACTCATACTTAGCCCCTCTGGCTGCATCATAAAAAATATATTATGTCTTATTTTTTTCATTTTTAGCACTTGAAAACTACAATGCTGAAGCTTCTCATGTTTATAAGATAAATGAAAAAAAAAGTCACTGTGAGTAATGATATTTATTTTAGTCAGATGCCTAATCTGAGGAGAAAGTTTTTTAAAACCTTTCAATGGTTTGTCTTGCAATGAGAATTACTCATGGAAACTGTATTTTAAACAAAAATTGGTTATGTTCCACAATTTTAAATATATAAAAGTGAATTTAAGAACAACTCAAATATTTGACATAAAAGTGAAAAAAAAAAAAAATCACTAGGGTTAAAACCACCCTATTAATATTATTGAAATTATAACTCAACATTATAGTTTAAGTCTATAGAATAAAGCTAAGTAGACTTCACTGAAGCAGCAACCACAATACATAAGTATGCTTTTAGTACAAGAATTAAAAACAAGTCTCACCTAGACTGTCTATGATAGTATTCTGGTCATGGAGATTAATCACTTTTTCCTCTGTATGCAGATCATCCTTTCTTCTGTACCGAAGTCTGTACCCTAGGAGATCTCCATAGATGTATTTAGGAGGAGCCCATGATACCTCCACTTTTAATTGTGGACTCTCTGATACAACCCTTACATTGAGTTCTGGTTTTGAGGGAACTGTAAAAAGCAATATCTAGTATCTTAACTGGCATCTAAATAATCTGTATAAATGACAGTCAAACAACTGTGTCAACTTAATATCAAATTAACTCTGTTCTTAAGTTATAGTCTTAAATTATTTCTGGTTAAACAAAATACTCAAATAGTTGTATGCAACTAAGAAACTGGAAAGTGAATGCATTTCTTTTATATTTATATAGTAACAATGAGTTACTGATTCAATTATTCATGACTTAATTAGTACCAGCTTCAAGAAAACTAACAGTATATTTTTACCACCTATTCTTATTCAAATATTAGTAAATATTCTTATAATTACCATCATATGGTTTGATGGCTACTTATGTTTAATAAGATCACTTAATTATGTATACTTTCATATTACATGGATTGAAGTTGTTTTTATAGTGGTGATCTCAGTGTATACACATGAAAAAATTCAAAACATTAATTATAAGAGTATAGTACAAATCATACTTGACACTTTAAACATATAGACTAAACTTAGTAGAAGAAAACTAGGTTTAATAATAATAAAAGTGATGACTGATGAATTTTACATCCTTCCTCAGTCACAATAATTATATATTGAAGTTTTTAACAACTCATAGGGATAACCAAACATTAAAACATCACCATTATGTAAAACAATTATTTTCCTGTATTTTTCTGCCAATTTTATATTAATGGATCGCTGTTTACATATTCTACAATAAATATTGGATTGTCAGTGTCTTACCTCCTCCTCTTGTTTTTGCGATTTTTGGATGACTACGTGTTCCATCACCTTTTCGAGTAACTGCAGCCACCTGTACAGTATACGTTGTATCTGGCTGAAGTCCAGTGACATTATAGCTCTCTGCTTCTTCATTGGCTACATCATACCTGATGGGTTCTCCAACAAAGTTATTATTTTTATCCTTTTCTTGGATGTGGATTTGATAACCTCTGATTAGCCCATTTCTATCCTTATTAGCTGGAGGTTTCCATTGAACCTGTAGACTGGTGCTATTAACAGGATCCACTTTCACATTTCTAGGTTCTCCAGGCACTACAAACATATAGTGAAACTGGCAATCTCATCTGATGCAGATGGTGTAGTATAACATATCTACTTTATTATAACCCAGTAATATCTATACAATAACTAGAAGACAATGACTTTGTTAAGTCAACTAGAAACAAATACAACAGACCATGTATAATTCCAGTATGCATACATGAAAATAATATTCTTCATTGTATACATGTATATGAAATGGCATGTATAAGAAATTTGAAAATGTTGGTAATAGTAGTTTGTTGGTGTGATATTGCATTAAAGTTTTAACAACTACGTTTTGAATAATTAAACAGTTTTGCTGCTGCTTATACTCAACCCCTTAAAACAAAACAGCTTTATATACATGTTTAATACAAGATATTAAAACAAATTCAGTATCTGAGTGTCTAGCTTAATTATGTAGATTAATCATATTTGTAGTTTGCTTTTGGTTTTCAAAGCCCATTGTCATGTAAAATTGATAAATTTTATTATTAAATATTTAACATTTCAGGGTTTACCCTACTGCTAATTAAAAATGATAAATTCCATTTTAATATATTTAACTTTTCAGTGTTTATACCAGCTCATTAAAAATTCATAATTTATGGATATGACTTAGTCCGTATTTATCATGTATATTTTCACAGGCTATAAAACTATTCTTTTTTTAAAAATCTGTTGCTTTGTCTCACTACTTTTTTGTCTTTTAGACATATTACTATTTCATTTAGTATCCAGATTCAGTTTTATACATTTTTAAAAGTTCAAGTTTTTATGTTGTGACATAAAAAGTTACTATTTATAAGTTTATATTTCATAAATGTTTTATTTGTTTACACAAAAGATATATTCAGAGCTTTTTTCTTATGGATAGTGATACAAAACAAGGAAAAGTACTCATGTTATAAATCAAGCAAAAGGAATATTATAAACAAGTTAAGTATTATGAAAAATCCAACAAACTCATAACTTATGCAAAAAATACAGCTTTCAGTATAATGTTCATACTAAGACTGTTTCACTCTACTATAGAGATCAGGGCAAAACATGCTTAATGCTATAACATGTTGATTTCACATACTCTGTAAGCATATACAAAGGTTCTAGTGAAAGAGAAACTATAAAAGAAAGGCATAAAGTCTGAGAAACTTCTGAGATAACACTTAGATAACTTTTTATGATCCAAAAATTCATTTTTAAAAATATGAACTTTTGGAGTAGTAAATGTTATATTGTACTGAAGGAAAATGTGTTAATAACCATAAGAATATAAATCACACTACAGATAATACCATGAAAGTAATCCTAACCAAATGTTAGTTATTTTGTATTTTATGTTACAAGAGATGTGGGACAGATGGTGAGAAAAAAAAGGATAAAATAGCTTGAGGAAGAAATATAAGAGAGAGAGAGAGATGGTTAGTTCTTGCAGAGCAATATGAATTCTTGGGAAAACTACTGCATAAAGTTGAAGAGGTAGATTTTAGAAAACTGCATACGAAGTATTCATAAGAATTAGTAATACAAAGTAATGTACTGTGTAGAATCTGTGGTTCATATTCTACCTACCATCTTCATCTGTTTGTACAATTAATGGTGCAGAAAGTGGACCATCGCCTACAACAGTACCAGCAAGCACCCAAATATAGTATTTTGTCCACTTCTCAAGTCCATCAATGATGAAAGAACGTTCATCAGGACCTGTCTGTATCTGGCGTGCCTTTTTAGGGTCATTACTAGTGCTGGCCTTCAAGTATTTGATTTTATAGTAGGTGATTTGTCCATTCTGTTGATCCACAGGAGGGGGTAGCCAAGTGATACGGAGGGATCGGGAACTTACTGCACTACCATGGATATGTTGGGGAGGAGCACCTGGAACTATGGGTTGATACATTTGGGAGGGATAGATGGTGATGGGTAATGACAAGGGAAGCAGATTGGCAATCCAGTGAAAATATTTGTAAAGAAAAGAACAAAACAAAAAAAGCTTACTTTCATCTTGGATTTTAGACAACATACATGCTCACAGCCAATTGTTATGTTGTCAATAATTTAAACTTTGTAAATTTAAGTCGTTTTGTCAGTTGTTTTTAATATATTTTTAGTACTAATTCACAAACAACAAATAATGTGTTTTAAGAAGTTTTCATTATCACTAATATATTCAATCCAAGAGGAAATAATTAACAAGCAAATAAATAAAAAACTGACCACATTATAAACAATAAATTCAAAAAGTAGTAATGTTTTAAAAACCAATAAAACAAATGTTTTAACTATTTTATTTTCACTAAAGTTTAGAAATACAAAATTAGAATTCAAAGCAAAATAATAAGGATAATTAACTTTAGTGTCTCTATTGTTGGTCAAACAGATCTGAAGTGTTAAAAGGCATAAATGTAATGTAACCAAGACCAAACAAAAATTGTCGTATTTCACATACAACTTGAAAATGATAGAGATGAAAAAAAAAAGAATCTACCTGCATTAAAGACAAAGAAACTGTACAATGTGCAACGTTTTGTATTCAAAATTAATTTCTCTATCACTTTTATAATTAATTAGAGGACTTAGTAGAGAGCTAAAGCAGTCCACTTAAATGTCAATACTTTTTTAATGTGTTACAAGTTAATGCTTAATCTATATTCCATATACATACTGCAGAGTAACCTGGATGATAGAGGCATTAGTGTTAAAATAAAAACTTTATCTACCAATGATTATAGTACATCACTGGAAGGTAAAGATTACATTCCTTAACATTACTAATTATAACCAGGTTAAAATCAATGGTGTTAAAGTAAGAATGAAATCTTTATCTTCCAGTGATGTACTATGTATAATGTAACCTGGTTAAAATCAATCATGTTAAATGTAACCTGTTTAAAATCAATGGTGTTAAAGTAAGTAATCTAGATAAAATCAATCATGTTAATATAAGAATGAAATATTTACCTTCCAGTGATGTACTATGTATAATGTAACCTGGTTAAAATCAATTGTGTTAAAGTAAGAATGAAATTTTTACCTTCTAGTGATGTACTTTGTATAACGTAATCTAGTTAAAATCAATCATGTTAATGTAAGAATGAAATCTTTACCTATGTACTATGTACAGACTCAGGACTTGTGTTAATGCACTACTGATAATATCAATGAAAACTCCTACACAATCCAACACTGTTTCACAGATGTTGTGTCATTACAGATGCAGAACATTTAAGGTCTGTTTTACACAATTTTAGTGTGGTGATTTTAGCAAAATCAAAAATAATAATTCATGCAAGTCAAAATATGTGGCACATGCACTTGCACACACACACTCATTTGAGTAGTTTGAACTTTTTATCAAATGTTTTACTAGTCAAAAGCTATATATTTGTATAATTAATTGGTAAGTTTTCTTTTCTTTTGAAAGAAAAATCAGAGAGTGGTCTGTTTTAATTTGTGTAAATAATAGGACAAGTCTTGGAATTGACAACAAATGTCTAATGAGACATACAAGGTTTGTTGAATAGCTGCAAGTTTCTGAATTTATATATCAACTATAGAAAAGTTATTCTTTTTAAAATGAACATTTTCCTTAACAAATGTTTTTATTTTCATCATTCTTTTTCTAAACTGGTCCCATCAAAAACTCAGTGTATTCTGCTTAAGATATATTAATATATACTGAAAGAAAAAATATTAGTTAATGAAGTTATGTGGTGCTTTGTGCTATCTACAAATGTTATAAGTATTAACAGCTTTATAAGCACAAATTAAGTAAGGAAAAACAAACACAAAAAAAATACGAAGTTAATTACACGACTATTTTTGATGTACCGTATTGTAATAAAAGAGAGGTAACCTTAAAACCTAATATTGTTTAAAATTGTTCCTAGAAACATGTTAACATAGACACAGTGTGTTTATGTGGTAAATAAAGCTCAAATACAGCTTCATTCCACCACTGCTTATGGCAGACAGTTAATAAAACCAACAAATATTATTTGTGTATTAGTTTATTTCTAAAAACCTTCACAGGAGAGATATTGTATGAATTAAGTAGCTCTAATGCAGTAACTTACGTGATCTTTCATCACATGAAACCTTTCAAACTGGGATATATATATATATATATATATATATATATATA